TACATTCTCCCACTATGGTGGTTGATCGGATGGCAGTTTCTTTGCTCACCGGCTTTCCTCAGTTCCTTCCAACCCATCGTACAGTGCAGTGCTATCAACCCACCTGCCAACCCCTTAACCACTCTTCCGGGTCTCAACCATCGCCCAGAAAAATAAACCAAAATTATCACCTTCTAACCTCAAAAGATCTGATCGATGTTGCAGCCTTCAATGTCCGTACTGTATGTCAAATTGGGCAACGGGTCTCCCTTGCTGAAACCTTACTTCCCCTCTCTTGTCCGTACTGTCAAATTGGGCAACGGGTCTCCCTTGCTGAAACCTTACTTCCCCTCTCTATCGATGTATGTTGTGTCTCCACAACACGCACGCATGCCCCCACTTCGATCGTGCTCCTCAAGCCGCTTAGGGTGAGCCGGTTCTCTGATTAAGATTAACGCAGGTCGATGCGGTAAACGGTGTTTGTCGTATCAGTATACGCCCCAACAGGTAGCAATTCTGAAACTAAACTGGACGAGTTTTATCAACATCTGTCACGACTACTTCGGTCGGCAGGGACGACGGATGTAGTAATCCTGGCGGGTGATATGAATGGCCAAGTTGGATGACTAAATCCGGGAAAGCACAGTTAGGTGCTCGATTTAGAGTCTATGGTGAGCGTACGGATAATGGAGAGCGGCTTCTTCAGTTATATGCAGATCATCGTCTGTTCCTGGCCAGTACGAGCTTCCACACCTACCACAAGACAGTCGTGGACTCAGTCGGACCATATGGCCATCAGTCGCCTATGGAGATTCTCAGTTAAGGATCATTGTTCCTTCTGGGGTACGCAACTTGACTCCGACCACGCCATTGTGCGAGCCTGCTTATCACTTCGCTTTCCGCCTGCACTACGCGTGCCGAAAGAGAGCAACTGCGTTCATCCACTTCGACAAGTTTCAATAGCTGAAGAGTTTCAAGCTGACCTGGCTAGAAAGCCACGAGAAACGCACAGTCATGTAGACGAAGGAAATTGCTTGGAGGATGAATAGAAGCGGGTTAAAGAGGCGATGCTGTCAGCTCTCAGAACTTTTGTCCGATCCATCTGACTCGACTCAGTGAACACTGGATATCTTCGAGATCAACAGATCTTATTGCTGACAGAAAGGCCATATCAGCAATTGGCGACTATGATGGCGCATGAAGATTCCTCAAACACCGAATAATCAGGAGCTTAAAGATGATGGTAATGATGATAGTGATGATAATGATGGTGAAAAGGAGAATGAGTCTGAGTCTGAGCAATGAAGGTGAGAATGATGATGTTGTTGGTCCTCAGTACTTCAGTGAAACCTTTTTGATTGAGGTGAGCCAAGTGACAGCCGCGTCCTGAATTTTATTGTCGCGCCCTTGGCAACCGCGCCCAGTGTGTATTGGGTGACAGCTTAACTTAAAGGCCGTGTAGTGAGTCAGATCCCTATGGCCCTGTGCCTCCCTAATTCTTCATCGGAATTCTCCCGAACAAAGTGGTTGCTGTTGACTAGAACACGGGAACTTGTTCCTTGCCTCTAGTAGCACCTTTCGGAAGTTCGGATTGGTACAGTGCTACGAAGACGCCTACCGATTGACTAACATTGCTGCCTCCAATGGTTCTGCGATACCTCACACGCTTTCAGTATCCTGGGGGAATCTATGCACCTAGCAACCCAACGACGGTCACACCAACAGACCACATTCCAGTGGCACCCCGATGATCGACTGTTGAAAACTGTAGAGGTTCAGTTCATGCTCTTGAGCGTGCTCCGCAAAACATTGGCCTGCCAAACAACCCCCCCCCCAACTCTCGGACGTGACCACTAGTCCAGTAATTGCTGAAATGCTGTTGAATCCTTCAATTTCATTACTCCAATCACAGAGTGGTGTACAACATGTCGCTCCGTCCCACCTCAGATTTTCACGTCGCAGCGCCAGGAAGATTGGATATCCGTCAGAACTACCCGCCTCCAGCTGGGTGCTCAGCCATGTGTAG